TGTCCTATTATGCACCATTAAGTACAGGCATCCAAAAGCAGATGACGGATCAGGAATCTGCCATCATATTGACTGGATACTGGGGGGAGGGAAGACTATCCCTTAAAGGTTCCATTCCATTCTTTAATTTGATTAAAGAATACAAAGAACCCATAGGCAATTGTTTAACAAATGCTTTTGTGAATTCAAGCCATATATAGCATAATAGCACTATTATAGCTATAATAGTACCAAGGGGTTAGTTCCAGGTTTCCCTGGATTTTTACCCATTCTTACATCCCTAGGTTTTCTGAAGACCAGCACTCTTAATCAGAGTGCTTTGGAGCAAACTAGGACCACCTCAGACTAATAGCCCTGTCATCATTTATGGAGTCTTTACCTGCAGAATCCTTTGAAGATTTCTTTTTAAACTTGGTTGCAGACAGATTAGAAAGACTAGCAAGAAGGTATGGCCAGGAAGGTCTAGAAAAACATTATTTAACAGGGTATATATTACTGCATTATTACTGAGAAGAACATCTGTCACCACAGATGAAAAGTCATTGCATCAAATTAGATCAGTTCAAAAGTTATTCTAGGAGGTAGAACATAACACCAGTGTTTGCAAAAATGGTATAGTTTCCTTTACATTGACAGAAAAAATGAGCATCGGTGTATCATTTGAAACGTCTAGATTTCTTGAGAAGCCCATACTTTACTAGTTACTGCATTGTATTTTTATCAATACCTATAGCTAGTTAGAAGACTTTCTCTCTACAGGCCTGCATCCATCTCTAGGTTACAGCAATGAGACATACCTGTGCATGAAGCATCAGGATAAAGGTCATAGCTAACAACTCAGCTCTCAAAGTACTGCACTGCCGTTCACAGAGTAAAAACCATTTATGTGAAATGGAAGGCTTCCTCTTCAGCCACTGAAACTATTTTCCATAAGAATACAACATCATCATAAAGCTCCCCACTTTCTGCTACAAAATAAAACACACAAAAAAACCCCAAAACCACCTAAGAGGTTTTATTCACATCAATTAATATACCATCTAGGAGCAATGTGAGTCCTAGTATGATGAGAGCCATACAAGTCTCTGCAAGGAACAAAATAGCATGTCAGGTTTTTTGCTGCTCCATTCCCCACTGAAGCCAATGGAGTTGCAGTAGAAATAAGCCATTTGCACTGTGCAATAGTGGTAATACAAATAATATAGCCCTAGCTTTTTCTTTGAAAATCATTTATTGTTGCAGACATTTCAGTAAGCAGCAGACTCAAACCCTGCCATTTCAGAGTGTAATTTACAGGGTTTGAAGAAAGGTGAACATTGAGAAGATGCAGGTGAAAAACATTTTCTCCTTTTCTTCCTCCACCTGAGGAGGAGTGATGGCTTTCCTCAACCGAGAAATATGTATATGACTTCCCTGCAGCTTCGCTGTGTTAACCTCCTAACTGACCACAGGACTCCAGCAGTGCCCGCAGACATTATCAAAAGCTGAAAAATCACTGAGATGAAAAGCAAGAAATAAAATTTGGACTCTAATCCACAAAGACAGATAAC